GCAGACCTTTGAAATAGACATTGACAATGGATGATATAAATCATAGGAATTCTAAAGGAAAGAACTACTTAATGCAAACAAAGAAAAGGAGCTCTTCTTGCCAAAGTGCCTAATGAGAAAATCCTTCCGCTAAAACAGGCCAACATATCATCTATCATAAGAATTTTTATTTTTTAAGATTCTCTACTTAACCCATGTTATTTCCTTTCAGTTAAGTAAAAAAAAAAAAGAAAGAAAGAAAAAAGAAAAGAAAAAAAGGTAGGGGGGAACCTGACTCACTCATCATTACATAGCAAACATGTGAGGGCTCAACTGCATATCCAGCAAGCCAGGGGAGAAGTTAACCCTCTTCTCAATTTTAAATCCTGCTGAGTCTATAAAAAGTCCAGGTTCACCTTCTTTGGCCTACAATTTAAGTATCCTCTTGGTATTTTACAACTCTTTAAGTCACTGTCTCTATATTTATGCTGTAATGATTCATTTGAAAACTTAATCTAGAACTTAATGCGTGTCTTGCATAATGCTCAGAGCTGGGAAAATACGGATTAAAAAAGATAATATCCTAGTCCTCAAAGAGAAAAAAGAAACAAGAAACAAGGGAGGAGGAAAGGTGCCTGGAAATATTACTTCATAGGGTACCTACCATGTGTCAAGCAAGCACTATATTAGGCAGTTGGTCACTAGTACCTGAAGTCTATTTGGCACACACCTTTACCACGAGCACTACCACCATAAGTACCTCTCTTACCAAAGGTTAGAAATCTCATTTCCCATACTGCCTTTCCCTCTATGGTTTCATGTTCATAACCTGAGATTTGAAATGGGTAAGCAAATTGAAAGCCATTTTGCTCAGAAGTCATGGGAGTAAAAGATGTTTGGATTCTTCAGATGCTGCAGCTTTGCAGACTTTTCCATTAGCTCCCACTTCACAGTCCTGCCAGGTTTTGCAGACTTCCCAAAAAATTCCCATTTTTTTTTTCACTTACTTAACACTCCTCTTCCGGCTGAGCTCTACAACTAAGTTCTCTGACCTAACGACAGCTCTCACCACCTGCTTAGTGCTTCAGTGTAAGATATTTCACCGACAATTTCTCTAAAGTTCATCAGAGTTCCTTTGATCTATGGTGACAGCTTTCTTGACATCCACATCCCCAGCTATGCCAACAGTATATAAACCCCTAATGCTTCACAGAATGACCCATTTCCTTGACCAAACCATTAGTAATGTAGTCCCTAAGCTGCTGCAAGCGTGTATAGCCTATGATTCTGGCCCGTGGAGAAGTGCCTGGAACAATTACTAGTAATCTTGTCTAGAAAGCCAACATAATGAAGTAGTTAAAAGTATGGGTTCAGGTGCTAGCTAAGTTTGAATCCTGGCTCTGCCACTTAGAAGTTATATGTCCTTGGGGAAGTTACTTAAACTCTTTGCCTCAGTTTCTCACCTGTAAAATGGCAATAATGCTAGTAATTACTTCTTAGGGTAGTTATGACAATTGAATTCATAGAAAGTAAACAGTAAATATCAGATAAAGGTTTAATAAAAATATACATCTCAACCTTTTCACTTCTTTAGATTTTGTCCTCTTGTTTGTATCCAGTAATAAAATAGATACTAATGGTTATTGAGACATTGAAATAGAGGTGGGTGTTTGCAGAGCCAATCTAAGATGTTATAAAGTCAAATCTCTGGAGCAGGAAACAATATCAAAAGAATTTTTTAAAACCAGAACATTCCTATTTTGCTTATTAATATTTGAATATTTTTGTTTCTTGAACTATCCCCATGCTCCTTTCACATATATTTCATTATTTTTTTTCTTG